AGGTCACAGAGAAGGAAGGAAGGAAGGAAGGAAGGAAGGATGGGAGAGAAAGCTATATATAGGCAAAGATCTGGATCTATAAAAAAACAGATGTAGCAAGGGGGAAGTTATATGGCAGAGACCAAACGGGTTGAACAGGGGATTGCAGAGATGAAGTTGGAAGCACCCCTCTTTCTTTCAGTGCCGTTCCAGGCTAAACTACCTCGCAGGGTTGTTGTGAGAGCACGCCCTCTCGGAAGAAGGCAGGGATGTGCGGCTGTAGGATGAAAATAGGGGAATCATGCTGAGCATTGCCGGCGTTCTGTCTGCAGTGCCGGAAATGTCATTAACAATACGTCTGTCGGGGCAGTTGTGGTTACATCGAAGGTGCCAACCAGCCCTCTTTCAGCTAGGTGGCATGACAGGGCCCCTCATCAGATGGATGTTGTAGTCGGCGTTCGGGAGGGGGCTGTGCCACAGAAGGCTGCAGTAGGACAACCAGGAGCCGGAGAAATTTGACCGTGGTTGATTCTGCAACCGGTGTATCCTGGCTGAAATTGAGTGGGGTCCCGCCGTAGGGTGGCATGGCTCCCCGTTGAGTCCAGGGCATTGTGCAAAATCAAGGCATCGTTTTGTGGCTGAGTGGCAGGACCCAGACGTCAAATCAGTCTTGAAGGTGGGGGGGGACTTTTTGGAGAGAAAATGCAAGGCTGGACGTCCACTGCCTTCTGCTGGGTTCAGGCCCTTCCCCTCATTCCCACTTAAAACAAAATGGCTATCTCATGCATGAGATCATCTCTCTTTTTGATGGTTTTGGGTGGTTTTTAAAGTTTGGGGTTTCATTGTTCTTTTTCATCGGACACCGGCCAGAGATGGGGGCTGCGTCGATCGGAGAAATACACCGATCCATTTGCAAAGGGAGAATTTGCAGGACCGCGTTGGAAAATGCACAGTGTGGCCCTTGAAAGGAAGATGTGATCCTCTGCTGGCGTGGTGGAACGAGCAACCGTGGTCCACGCAGTGCGGTGGCCGTGGATTCTTTCAGCCCCGGGTGGTGGTCTTTGGACAGGCCTGCTCAGCTTTGTAAGAGAAAAAGCCAGCCTGGGCGGGTGGATGAGTGAGTAAGCTAGTTCCCGACCTGTCTTCTAGGCTTTTCCCTTTCCATCCTGTGAACAACAGCTTAGGACAGTGTTTCTCAACCTCTGTAACTTTAAGATGAGTGGACTTCAACTCCCAGAATTCCCCAGCCAGCCA